CTCTGAATTTTCATAGAAAAAGTAAAAGAAACTGAAAGGTTTTGGGTATTAACAGTCACCTAGAAAGGTTTTTAATGCTCTTGCCAAGCTTGCAGTCTATCAGTCTGCTGTAATCAGAAATTTTGCCCAGTGCTGCTTACGCAGACATCCTTTACAGAACTTTTTTATTAAGCACTGTTTTCTTTGCCTTTACACCTCATACAGTACAACAGCAAAAACATTTTGAAAGCTGCATAGCAGTATGCTTAGAATTCACGATGAAGTGTCAGGCGTTCACATACACTTTTATATTTTTTCAGTCTCCTCATATGTCATATCAATATTCAATTATCTTAGTCAGATGGCTAACAAATTTTTGTCTTTTTATTTATCACTTTTATGCATTATTTGTTAAATATCATGTTCTTTGCTTTTATGCCACATAAAATTCAATTCAACAGCAAAACTACAAAAAATTTAAAAACAGTGTAAAAATATATTTCAGGGTCAGCCTCGGCAAAAGTTGCCGATTTTTGGCGATTGGCCAGAAAGGGACACTTTCAAGATAGCCGCTATACAAAACCAAAATAACAAGTCAAAGGATTGCACTAACTCGATGTCCATGTACACATGGATCTATTCTCACTTTTAAAAAAATCTGAAAATTGCACAAACTCAGTCAATGTACACATTGATCTATTTACACTTTTAAAAAATTCAGAAGAATTATGATGTCATATAATGTTAAAATAAAATTACTCATCACCAAAATTGAACACAATTCCTAGCTAATCAAAGCTCAATAAACTGCATTGTAAATCACACAATGAAATAACATAAAAAAAGAAATACATCTTATTGCATATATGCACTACAAAAAGGAAATATCGACTTAGCATATTTAGAAATTTCTGTGTCTTCAGTCTGTGGCACACAGAATTCCTTAACAGCTTCCAAAAACTTTCTTAACTGATCTGAACTAAAATATGCATACTGCTGTCACCACAAATTCACAAAAATAAGAGTAAAAAAATATCCTCCATAGTGACAGACTGTCGGTGGCATTCCTTGCATGAATCTTTCTTGCGACAAACCCATTCAAAGCTAGCTGAATGATATTTATTTACGTATGCATTTCTTTGTACAAATAGGGAACTTATAATGACTAAGTAAACCTTTATTTACATACCAGTCAATTAATGCTTTCCCCCCTTTCATTTCAAATCATACAAAACTTCACATTAATCTCATCACATACAGCCATTTTATGGTGTACAACGCAAAATAAACAACATACTTCCTAACTGACATCCAATGCTGAAATAAACCCTTACAAATATTTTCCCATCTGTTAAATTCACTGCAGTCTGCAACCAATCACGTCAAAATAGGTTTTCCAGAACATTCAACTACTCAGGTTAACATAATGAAACAACAATTTGGTGATAAATGAAACAACTTAGTGATAATATATTTGGCACCCTAAAATATAGACTAACCCTTGTTTTTTATCAAGTGCTTTATATTATTTCATCCTTGAACAAGACGTTCATTGCAACGGGCGCCTGGACTGGAGTCCTATCCGGATCGATGTTACGTCACTCATCGTAATGCATAATAAATAATGATCATCGATCATTATTTACATATGGTGAGTGAAGGCATATCGTAATGAAAAGCAATAATTAAAGGCAATAGTCCTTGATAAGCATATTGAAACGTAGCATCGGGAATACGTGCAAGTAATGCGTGATAAGAGAAGTAACGTCTATCACTGAAGACATCAGTGCTGGAAATGGTCAGAGAATAGGCTGAACTATCTGAAGTTGAGGAAGGTCAGGTGACACTGAAACGTCCAATGGCAGGTTGAGAAGGAGTTACAATTTGAGAGGCTGAGGGAGATCACATGCAAGCCGTGATTTTTGTAAATTTAAAGTGTATTAATTAACTTGGAATAAAGATGTTTGCTTCTTCACATATATTGAAGAGTAGGAATAGCTTTCCATAGGAGTTTCTGCCTTTCTTAGCTGATCCATGTTGGATCTTAATAGATTGAATAATTTTGATACATTGCTATTTCCAAAAATAGTGTACAATTCTTTTAAAGTAGAGAATATGTCTGAAAAATTATTATTATTATCCTGGTTACTGTTGTTCTGGTATTTAACTGTTTGCATGTGTTTTGACGTGGCTTGGGCGTAACTTTTCCTTCAGTGATTATAGCTGAGTGAGTTGTGTTTTTTTGGTTGGAAATTAAACTTGGTGTACTATTATTATTTCTGGGTGTATTTTTAGGAAATTTTTTGCAACCACGATAGGACGTTGGATGATTTTTTAGGCAATTTGCACAGACTGGTTTATCTATTCGTCCTGGTGTAGGGCACTCTGAAGTTTTATGATTTTGTGCACATTTCACACATCGAGGCAAAAAGAAGCAATTATCTGATGAGTGATGGAATCTTTGACAATTGTGACATTGTGGAACTATGCTTTTGTTGATGTATCTTTCAATAGTGATCATGAAAAGTCCTAGGTGTGTTTCATTACAGATATTTTCAATATTGGCAGTTTGAATTAGTTGGGCCTGAAATAAAGGCATAGGTTGTTTAGTTTTAAAATGAGTTATTTGTACTAATTTGTAAACTGAGTATAATAAGTTTGTTAATTCTGCTATTATTTCATCTTTATCTGTCGTGATGGGCAGTCCTCTGATAACAACTTTTACTGGTCTTTTATGTCTAGGTGTAATTTACATAGTGTTCAATGTTATGCGTTTTTAAGTCTAAAGTTAATTGTCGGTGACCGTCTGGGGTGCTTGGCAGTAATTTGAGATATTCTCCACTGTGCCATAGAATACTGCTTTTGAAAGGTTTGAGATTTTTTAAAGATATGGGTTATATCTGGCGCCATCTTCCAGCTTTACCATACTTGGAGTTGGATTTTTACTATTTTCTTGATTATCGTTAACTGTTTGAGTGCTATTAATTATTTGGGATGGATGATTATCATTTCTAGTGTCTGATTGAGTGATAGAATTCGATAATGCACTGAAACTATTCTGAGTAGCAATTAAATTAGGAGGTGAGTTTTATGGCAGTTTAGCTGTTTTGGTTAGCTTAACAAATCCATCAGAATCCTTATCGTTATCCGAATTTTCATCCTTTTGTTTCCGTTTAGTATTAGTGTGCGGGTGAGTATAGCTTGCATGCTCATCAAAAAGCCATTACAAACTGTATAATAATAACCTAATTATTTACAAAAGCAAACCTGCAAAAACAGCATAACTTTTAAGCTCACGAATTAACTTCTAATGGCTGGAGATGCAAATAAACATATAGAGTACAAAGTCTGAAATCTAGACCACCAAATCAGCAGCAAATGTTTTTTTGGAGGTGCACGTCCCGATTTTTAATTTTACTTCAGCACTGAATTAAATACCTCCCTATTGAAGAAATAATCATTTATAGGCATAGTTCAATATGGTCAAAATAGACTCTGTAGGCAGAATTTAAGACCCACAGAGTCTGAACCAGATTGCAAAATATCTATTGCCTGCCTGGATAATCCTGAAGTATATGTGGAAATTTATTTGTTCAGGACTACCAAAAATCATGTGCAGGAAATAGATCTAAGTATACTAAATGACTAAATATAATTCCAGGCTTAAATTCATCAGGTTGCAGTACAAGCAAGGCAGAATTTAACAGAACAATATATCTTTAATTACCAATCTTGCGATACACTGCCAATAGTGTATAGTGGATGCTAGCTAAGCTTTATGATGATAGTCAAGAATTAAAAGGTTTTCAGATATCACAAACAAAATCGAAATTTTCCAATTGGGAAGAAGTAATACAACAGAACAGAAGTTTTTCATTGCGTTCACAATATCCAAATCATTTATCCAACAATATCCAAATCATTAATCAACTAATGGATGAATAAATCTGTAATACAGGTCTAAATCCAAAAAAAATATTACTACCAGTACTGAAGAAGATAACAGATAGCTCATTGACAAAAAAAAATTTCAAATGACAATCTAGTAGGAATTTTTGAAACAGCCATGACAGCACTCTAATAAAATAACCCAATAAGAAATGATGTCTATCTATAGAATGAAAAAGAAAGTATTAGCAAATAAAAACGAAAACAACTTAAACAGCCTACATTGAATTTTTTTTGGGGTGTGTGTGTGTGTGTGTAAATTTTTATTCCCTTTATTTCGCAAATGCTTCATTATTTCATAAATCACTATTTTGTAATTTCTACATGCCATCTTACTAGATAGATGTAAACTGATGATCTACTATCCAGGAAAATCCAAAATCCAGAATGGCTGAAGTCCGAAGATGCCCGTATCTCAGACTTCGTACTGAACCAGAATCTGTATAAGGCTGCTAGCAAAACAAATATCAACAATATTTACATTATGCAATATTTCCAAATTTCTCGTTATTTAATACATTTAGATCCAGCATACGTATTGCTGTGTAGCAAAAGCCCAACAAATAATTGCCTTCGAAAACTCTGTTGCCTTGTTACTGAAAAGTGGATACATAATTTGGTATCTGTGGCTACCTTCAAATTCAAAATCTTCATAAGACACACTATGGATTAATCAGTATGAAAATATGAAAAGTTTCTGAACGAAGACCTGAAAGCATGTGCACAAAAACTGGAATAAAAATTCCTCCAAGATAAAGATCCCAAACAAACAGTAACTTGAGTACAGTTCTACAAACAGTAAGTTGAATACAGTAAAAATTGCTCCATATTCTGCATTTGACCGTACCCAACATGCAAAATTAGCTGTAAAACAAAATAAGGAAACAATATAATTCTTAAAAAATATTTTGAATTTAAATGAGAAAAAAAATTAACAGTCATGCAGAAGCATTAGAAAAATGTAATTTTAAGTAAGTTTCAGCCATTAATTAGTCTTTTACTTGTACATTTTTCTTTAATATAAAGGCATCCAACATTGCCCAGAAATTTAAGTAATTGCATTTACATTATACCTCCCACAAGGTACACCTCTACTCAACACTTTTGCTGCTGATCTCACACCAGCATGGGACATGGTGTTGATGGTAGAAAGCAAATCGTGCCAGCGTGGAGTGTCGAGTGATATCTCGATAGCCAGCCGTCCATTTGCGCAGAAAGAGCTGCACCTCAACGTTAAGTCTCTATTATAGTCAGCATTATATGTTAAGTATGTCTGCTGGTATTGGGTGGATTATAGGTTAGAAATAATTTTAAAAGCATATGGTTTCAAATTTATAGCCTTATTAGTTATGAAAAAAAGAATTTTTAATGAGTTTTGCAGGGCCTTCATGCCCTCCCCCCCCAAAAAAAAGCAATCCAAGAAGCCTCTTAACAGGTGATGAAATAGCAAATTTGTTGGCTGAACTTTTGGATGAGCACTTGAATGATGTTAGATATGACAGCGATGAAGATTTAATTTCTCCCCAAGATACCCATGATATTTTGGATTCTGAAGAAGTAGATGAAGAGTTGAAAGATATGCAAGAGGCGACATGGCATCAGTTTGATTCTTCTATGGTAGGAATCTGGGAAAATTCCCCAACAATGGAACAAAATCACAAAATCTTTCACAAAATCAGAGTGTTTGTTGCAGCCTATTTAGGGCTACAATCCAAATCATTATTTTGCCATTTACTTACTGAAAATATTTTGGATGAAGTAAGTACTCAAAAGAATGGCTATACTCATAAAGTACTTTATTGCCGTGAAAACAAATGCTTGGAAAGAATCCACAAAAGATGAAATGTTGGTATTTGTGGGATTAATTTTACATACGAGAACTACACTAGAATAAACCACATTCAAGATAACCAGAAAACAGATACAATATTTGAGATACACACTTGAGCGTATTATGAGCAGGAATCATTTTCTTTTATTGCTGGAGCATTGCACATAGCGAAACTACAAAATTCAGAAGCCCCAAAGGATTGACTATAAAATTAGAAGTATGGTGAATTTGCTCAAAATGCGGCTGGCTGAAATACACTACCCAGGACATGAGAACAATTAGATGGTGGTTGGCATGAAAAACTGAAGATAGGGGTAACGGTAGTAAAGTATGCTAATGGTGTATAATCAACAAATGGAAAGATAAAAGATATGTAGATTATATTTCTAATGAATACAAAAACGATATTGTAGAAACGACAAACAAGAGGCGAAAGGAAAACCATTTCCTGTTATTCAATGTAATAAATTTATGACAGGAATTGATAAGCAAGATCAGATGATAATGGTGGAGGAGGGGCTCTAAATGGCCTATCAAAATATTTGTGCATATTTTGAAATTAATGATTTTCAAATTCTCACTTTCTCTATAACAAATATTCCACAGAAAATATCACTTTGACTTTTGTTTATTGGTGATATGCAGTTTATTGAAACAACTTGTGCCTCGTGATTCCGTGCATAATTCAGCTAATTAGAACATATGATCAATCAACAAGAAGAAGAAGTGGAAAGATAGTTTGAAAGCAGTGCAAAAGTATATAGATATTATTTATATATGCAAAAGCCTATCTTTCTAGCCTGTGATAAGAGATTTTATCAAATTCATTTAAACTTCCATTTAAATTCGAAATGCGATCTCTCAAATCAATGAAGGAATACATATTTGGTTTTAAATTCCACATTAGTAACAACTGTACAATAGTTAAACTTAACAAAATAATTGTAGAAAACCGCCAAAATTCTAGAAATTGCTATAAAATCCCGAAAAACATTAGGAAGATAATTGCATGCCAATTCCATGCTGAAAAGTTTATGAAGATCAGCTCGACTGTTAACGAACAACTTGTGGAAAAAATTCAACACTAAAATAAAAATACGTATGCCAAATTTTCCAAAAATTCCTGATAAATATTGTACTCTCATCGTAAATATATATAGACTTATAATGTGATAAAAACTGAGTCGGTAAAAGAATGGATTAAAATTTAATATCCCAAAATAAATTGGCCTACTAAAACTAAGTAAACTAGATAAGTAAATAGTAAAAAAATTGTGTAACAAAATAAATAATGATCTTTCTTAAAATACTGCCCAATAAAACATGTCGAATAATTGAAAATTTACAAGCTTGGAAGCTAAAATCCTAAAAAGATTTCGGAAAATTCGGATGTCACATATTAAAAGACAAACTACAAGTACAAAGAAAGAGGAGAGACGAAACTAAAGCCAAGAAGTACTTCTTGCCATTCAATAGCGGGGAGGCAATTTTATGGCTTATCCATCACACTAAGGGGAAGCAAACATACTGCTCTACGCTGGGCCATCTTAGAGAGATTTCAGAAAACGTTGTTCAAGTGTTCAAGTGTGTTCAATTTTTTTTTTTTTTTTAGGGGTTTGTTATCTGACAGCACAGACATTTTCAAAGCATTTCGTTCCAAGGGGCGGGCTCGTTAATGGTTTAAAATGTTCAAATTTTTATCGGAGCTCTATCATTATCCGATAAAAATTTGCTCTCCGAATATTCTTAACAATTCCAGTAAGTGTTGCTTCTGGAGAGAGATCATTTCCCAGAACAAAAAAACTATCTGAGAGCGACAAAGAATCAGGATAGATTAAATACTTTAGCAATTATGTCGATTGAAAGTGAAGACGCAAGGAAATTAGATTTTCAAACAATTTTAGAAGAATTTACAGAACAAAAACATACAAATATTACATATATATGAATAATTCATGCATTCATATTCGGTGATATAAATTTATAGTCAATAAATGTTTTTGTACTTTGAACATTTTTATTTTTTAATTTATGTAGAAGTTTACATGTCTGATGATAAATGACATTTGATATATATATATATATATACTGAATTTGAATTTTATTTAAATATTTAATTTTAGAAAGAGGGCTCCGCAAAAAAAAAAAAAAAAAAAAAAAAAAAAAAAAAAATCGGGCCTCACACCCTATGCAATCTGGGCCTGCATATAGATTACCATTTCAAAACTTAAATGAAGGTCAGAAGTGAGTGACATCCTTCATTATTAGTTTTACTTGTTTGCATTCTTTCTAATTTTTTAGCTACATAACATAATACACAAATAGAAATAAATAGTCACAAATGTACCTAATTATTCACTATTTATTACAACAGTTTAGCAATGATGAAAAAACTGCATAAAATAAAATGCATAAATTAAATGAAGCTTACCTCAGAGAGAGAGGTTTTATTAAAAATAAGGCCTTGGGCCCCCCTTTATTTTTGACTTTGCCCTAGTCACCGGCTGGTAATTGGTCATCGCCCTAGTCCACGGCCGGCGCTGTAATAAAATGTTTAAATTAGAAATAAAATCTTTTAACATGGAGTTCAAGCAAAAAGTTGCATTCAGGAACATTAAAAAATTTAACACTAGCACACTAGAAATACAGATACAAGCATAAAGAACAACGTATGAATTGATTTAATGCCACAAAAATTTGGCAATATACAATAAATAAGACTGGGGAAAGTTTTTTAAATGCAGGACAGCTCTCTAGTAAATCAGAGTCCCAATCGTTTCGATGGCATTGAAAGGGTAGCGTTTAATTTTAATCTATCATTTGCACTCTCACAGACCTCAATCAAAGCACCATAAACTGATCCTAGCTGAATCCTCACAGCTTTAACGGAATCTATTCGACATTCACAACGTGTTTCTGAAATTGGCTTCACACTGTAAACAATTTCACATATCACTTGAGCATATCCCAGTAAAAACCAAGTAATCTGATGAAAAATCCCTGGTCGATAGCCGCAGTCAAACAATTTGCCATATCGCTGTGCACAAAGCTGTGATAACCGCATGGAACGTAAAATGCTTTCGGATTTAGCTCGAGTATGCGTTTTCCACTGTATGCGTACACCACTGTTCTGTCCCTACATACTGGATCCCTTATCATATCCTTGCCTTCTGCAGTTTTGTATTTGAAAATATCATTTATCAAGCTTATTTAAGCATGCTTCTGTCAAACTCAAACCTGTGCTACTACTACAAAATGTTCACAAATCTCAACTGTTGTCACATAAACATTGACAATTCGTATTATCATAGACATTTGCTCCTGATGACTTGCGTCAGGAGTCCAATAATGGTGGACTAATATTTGGCAGTCTGAGCATCTGCAATTATTTTCTTGAGAACCACTTCGCCCATCAGATGGAGGTGTTCATTTTGGATGTGATTCCCTAGATAATGGTCATGTATCTCAGCGTTTTTGATATGTTCTGTCAGCATTTTTATAAGACAAATCCAGCAAAATTCCTTCCCCGGCCTTTACCTGCACAACTGTTTGTCTGTTTATCACAGATATACATACTTCCAGTTACAAAAATGTTTTAATAACGCATATTTTTGCTTCTTCATTGATTTTTTAAAAATTTATCTTAAGAAACATTTTGAAATAAATGTCGAAAATTAGGCCAAATATAATCGAATCTAAGGGAGATATTATTAGTTCCTAAAAGTGCCAGGAACCCTCATAATGACTGCTAGTAATACTGGGTAGATTTATATGGTATTCTCACTCAGAAAATATTTTTCTTGGAAAACATCTGGCGTATATATACATTCCTTTCATTCACTGATTATTTACAGAAGGATTATACTTCCCTTCCACTCAGAAATCCCTTTTGTTGGAAAAACATCTGGTAAATGCAGATTCTCATAACACATTTTTAACTTTGTTAACCGAACAAACGTTTTTCTGGCTGAACCCCCCCCCAAAAAAAAAATTTAAATGCATTTTCAAATAAAGCTATTAAATTTATTGCCCTATTTGCACAACCTATTTGTGTGAACAAGGATTTTCTTCCATGTTAGATTTGAAAATAGATACACAATAAAATCAAAAGCGGATCCTAATTTATGGTTAAAAACTAAGACCAAACATAAAGAGATTCAAATATCTTAAGCACAGCCAAATTTCTGTCTAAATTGCAAAATTAAAGCTATGTAGAGCGCATTTTGATAATTAACATCGTAACCAATTTTTAATCTAACATTTTTTTTTATGTGTGCATATTAAATACATACAGCCAATAGGTTGTCAAAATGACAAAATATATTTCTTAATATCTTTATTGAGAAACTGAAAAATAATCATTGTAAAATGTAGTGGTGGTACACAAGTTTTTCAGTTTTTGTTTAGATGGTACACGTTGGTGAAAAGGTTGAGAACCACTGAATAAACACATACAGATGATCGATTTTAAATAATAAACCTTTAATCACAACAATTACTCATCATAACTACTCGTTAAATCAACACTGAAGATATTTGAGTCGGAGAATAAATCGGACCAAGCACGGCAGCGACAGAGCGTTAAGTGTTTTTCACGCATCTTGAAAATATCCGCTACAGTTACAGCTAGAAATTTGGGCATGCAGTTTGCGAGTAACAAAAATCAATATCTCCACACTCCAAACAAATGAGACTTAACTAACTTTTAGAAAATTACAGCTAAGTACTGATGTCTACTAAAACCACTGAAACTAAATAACTATGTTAAATCAATAAAACTTACGGGCGGTTTGACCCGAGTTGGGAGCCGCCGCCCGCCTGGAAGTCATCATCTCCTGTAAAAGAAACAAATGTATTTAGGAAGCTTTTAATAGTTTAGTGCACATATTACAAATATTTCTTACATTCAAAATCAGGTATGAAAAATCTTGAGATAACTGTATGCCAGTTTTTAGGAGGTACGGACATCAAGTAGAATTAATATAAATTATAAAAAACTACGAGTTGTTGGATGTAAATTTCTAAGCTTTTTCAAACAAATCTGTGTGCATTTTTCTTGAACTGCGTATGTCGGATTTGAAAGGGGAATGAAAACTGGAGTCTGATGAATGGGACATTACTTTGATACTGTTTTTGATACTCATTCTGTATATTACTAAACCACTCAAATTAAGCATGAAGCATTCAAAAAGGAAACACATCTGGAATTCTGCATGCTTAAAATTGAAATATATTGTGTTAAAGAGGAACCAGATATATATCCATGAGATCAGTGTAGCAATAATGTTTCACTATGATATTACAACAAAAGACCTACAGATCTTTCTATAGTAAATAATCAAGAAAAATATCCTTTGTGTCTTTCGTGTTTAATCTTTTTAATCTTTAGATATTACAGCTGTAGAGGATGAGAAAGTCAATTTCCACGAATGACTCATTATGTCTATGAAACGAATGATTCCTTGCAATAACTATAAAAAAAAGTTACTATACTTTATGTTATTTAAACATTAACCTAACAAAACAATACTCCCAATAAACGAGACTTGACTTCAGATGGGAAATTAAAACTAAGCACAGACGTCTTCTAAAAGCTCCTACACTAAGCTGACTACTGATAAAAAATCTCTACTGATATCAAATCTCAAGAACTTTAGTTAAATTATGAATTAAAAACATTCAAAATCTTAATTGACAGATACTTAATCATACTCCTTATAATATATATGAAGATGCATAAAACTTACCTTAGGTGGTGGAGGAGGTGGAGGTGGTGGACTAGGAGCAGATCGTGGAGGTGACGGCCTAGGAGCAGATGGTGGGGGTGGTGGAGGTGGAGGAGATGCCGCCCCCTGTAAAAGCAACAAACATACTTAGAAAGCTTTCAATACTATACATATGAGAGATACAATTTCATACAATACTATACATACTCAACTTTCTATACAATACATATGAGAGCTTTTATGAGATACTGAAATCAAGTAAAAACTAATATAACTTATCAAACAGTTGTTTTGCTGGATGTGAATTTTCGAGCTTTCCCGGACATTTTACAACTGCAGCTACATCTTGCTGGTGCTGCTTTCCATTCCATTCCACACAGGTGGTCAAAATGAAGTTGATATGTTTTTAGACTCACAACCACCAAGTTTCTGCGCCAAAGGTTTTGAAAAACTACCAAAATATTGGCATAAAATCATGGATTTAGGTGGATTACCTGCACTAAAGACACTGCTTTTATGTTCTTTTAATGTTATTAAGAACGTTTTTTGACGGAAAACTTTAAGATCAGGCACATTTCAACAATACAATTCCATGACAATACTACAAGAAATGAAATTATGAAATACTGTACAAAACACAGATTATATGATATTTGAAACATTTACTAGATAAAAATAAATGAGAAAATATAATTGCTATTGCAACACTGAAATAAAAGCAAGAAAACAATACTTAAAGGAACAGCAGAAATCATTTAAGAGAGTACCAGACATTTCCAAATATAAGCCGACCTGCATACAATTCAAGACTTTGTTTCAAAAATTCAGTCAAAATTGAAGACACACATGTGCAAATTGCATCAAAAGTCCAGTTATATTGAAAATCCAGCCAAGTTCCTTCTTCTGGCCTTTATTTGCACGATTGTTTGTCTGTCTTCCACTTAAAAAAGTGTTTTAAATGACGCAAGTATTCATGTTTTGCCATTTTTAAATCCGAAAGATTATAAATTTCAAAATATAACATTTTATACATTTCTTTGGCTATCGTATATTTGTGTTTAGGAAAATTATGCATTCCTTATTAATAAAAAATCTTGATGTGAACACAATATGACTTTCTTGTATGGAGCATTTATACACATTTTTAATGCATTTGAATTTATACTTAATTCCTCAAATTTGAGATATATTTTTCATTCATTTAATTCAGTTCTCACTTTGTGGCAAGAGAAAAATATGTAAAAACTCAAAATTCCTTCATTAAAAATTGAAAAATATGAAAAACATAAATTTCATTTGTCTTACCAGAAATGACATGCCTGCCCGACCTTTCGTCATCGACCGTGTAACTGGCCGGTGCTGGAACAAAAATTTTTAATTAGCCATTTATAAATCTGAAAGATTATAAATTTCAAAATATAACATTTTAAACATTTCCCATATCATTAACAAAGTAAGGAAGTATGGAAGTACCATATATCAAGAGATTATCCGCTGAACGAAATGCTGCTTCCTAAATAATTATATATATTTCATAGGAAAATCAACTAAGCATAATCATATTCTTAACATTAATGACATCTATACTACGAAGGGGACTCGGCCCCTGCCACTCTTCCAGCCCTACTGCCTTCAACGTATTTAAATAAGTTTGCTGGTTTTCCCATCTAGCTGAGGATTTGCAGTATAATGTTAATATGAAAGAAAAAAAAATTTTTTTAATCCTTCTTTGGGGAATTCTTAACAGATTCTGAATCAGACACTCGTAATAAGAAATATGACTTTTATGTAGTTTAGAGTTAAATAAAAAAATGAAGACATTTTTCAAATGGTTAACCTCAAATATACCTTTTGTGCTCAAATTATTTGCAAATCATATTGAATTTGTGTACAGAATAGAAGCAACATCATAACAAACAATACATTAAAAATTCTTGCCTTACACAAACAACTGAAATTTCAAAACTAATTTATCTTTGGTAAGTATACGACACATGAAGAAACATTAAATTTCTCGATATTTAATTACTACAAATAGAAATTGCAAGCAAATGATTACAAATTGTTTATAATTACATTATTTAAACATGTACACAACAAAACAATGCTCTTACAAACAAGACTTAACTTCAACTGGGAAATTAAGACAAACAACTGATGTCTAATAAAAGCTTCAAAACAAAGTCTAATGAAAATTCTAGTAACGAAGTTATATGAAATATAAAAAAAAGTTACTATACTTAATGTTATTTAAACATTCACCTAACAAAACAATACTCCCAATAAACGAGACTTGACTTGTGATGAGAAATTAAAACTAAGCACAGACGTCTTCTAAAAGCTCCTACACTAAGCTGACTACTGATAAAAAATGTCTACTGATATCAAATCTCAAGAACTTTAGTTAAATTATGAATTAAAAACATTCAAAATCTTAATTGATAGATACTTAATCATACTCCTTATAATATATATGAAGATGCATAAAACTTACCTTAGGTGGGCAAGGTGGTGGCTTAGGAGAAGTAGATGGTGGGGGAGGTGGAGGCTTAGGCGAAGCAGATGGTGCAGATGGTGGGGGTGGTGGAGGTGGAGGACATGCCACCCACTGTAAAAGCAACAAACATAGAATCTTTCAATACTATACATATGAGAGAGACAATTTCATACAATACTATACGTACTCAACTTTCAATACAATACATATGAGAGCTTTTATGAGATCAGTGCAGCAATAATGTGCCGCTAAGATATTACTTAAAAAAACCTACAAAGATCTTAGTAACAGTAAATAATCAAGACAAATAACTTTCATGCCTTTTGTGCTTAATCTTTCTACGCTTTAGATGTTATAGCTGTAGAGGATGAGAAAGGCAGTTGCACAAACGACACATTATGTCGGTCATTACTTAAAATCTCAGATGGGGCATAAACCATGTTAGGATACAGAATAAAGTAAACCATTTTCCAAGCTGCTCACAGCTTTACAACAGAGTAAGATATTTTAAGATCTTTGAACTGACTTTCTTACACAGCTTTATAGGAAAATCTTAGGCTATTATTTTATGTTTCTTTACTACTTCATTTCGATATACTATGAAGAACTTATCCATACACACCTCAAAATTATCTTCTATTAAAAAAAAAAAAAAGAAGATTTCTTGCAATAATCATAAAGGACATTATTTAAACATTAACATAAATAATGCTCTCAAAAAGCAAGATTTAACTTCAACTGGGAAGTTAAAACTGAGGACAGATGTCTAATAAAAGCTCCTACACTAAGTTGACTACCGATAAAAAAAGCTAATAACCAAGTTAAATAAAATTTTACATTAAAACTCTTACTTGAGAGATACTTATTCTCATTATAATATATATGAAGTATAATATACAAAACTTACTTTGGGTGTTGGGGGTGGTGGTGAAGGAGATAGGCTCTGTAAAAGAAACAAATATATTTAGATAGTGCACATATTCAAATAGTTCTTAAATTTACAATTAGATGTCAAATATCTAGAGCAGAGGTTCTCAACCTTTTGACTTAATTGTGCCATCTAAACAAAAATTGAAAACCTTTAGTATCACAACTACAAAGTATTACTAAACCTGTTTGGACTGCCTTCATTTATTACTCTGTCTGCACCCATGTTATGACTGGATACCATAAAGCCAGGAAAGTCTCTGCTTTCCATCCTGGCACCAACCAAAGACAAAACAAATGCATATTCTTTCTCTAAAGATGTTTATCGACTAATGATATTGACTGAAGAGAAAATTGGAATGTTAAAAAAGATATTTTAAAGTAAGAAATTCTTTTAATTTTTGGGGTGCAGACATTGTGGAGTCACTTTTTTAACATAAATTTTATCTGAAAAGTTTGGGTGCAGGCATTACACAAGCATATACAGTAAATTTTGTTTAAAATTTGAAAAGAGAAACTGATTAGATAGTATTATGTTGTTCAATAACCATTGATAATATTCCTGTTTAATAAAAATAGAAACTTTTCTGAGTTTTAAATCTCCATACTAAAAAGAATAATAAATCTGCTAGGAATTTCCTAAACACAATACTCAAGAAAAATACTATGTTTTCCACTGCTAAAAATACTGCTGTAACAATAAAAATATATTTTGAATGTTTAAAATAAAAATACATCAAAATTCATGATTTTTTTTAAAGACATGCTTTAGAGAAATGTTGAGGGAGGGAAAATTGTTCTTACCTCTTCCGGGCCTGGCAGCGTTGCTGCAACTTTAAAAAAAGAAAAAAAATTAATTGAACTGTACGTACACAGTGCATGATTAACAAAAATGCATATTCAACGAAAAATTAACATTAACATAGAATCTAACAATAAAATGGATTTTGGGGAAAAACACTTCATTTAAAAAGTAAATAAATAATAAAAAACCAAAATTGTAAACAAATCAAAAGGGAAATTTATTTTAAATTATCAATACTTTCTCTGTATCATCAGTTCACTCTTACTTTGACACAGATTTTTCTTCTAATTCCATTCATTTCCATTTCAAACAGAAATGGTATCGAGAGACCTTCCCTTTAATAATATCTGTTGTTACTGCATTTTTAGAATATTTATAACAAAACAATATGAAAAGCATAATATAAAGGAGAAAATCAGCATTTAGTCCTTATTTCTTAAAATGCATCTAATTAATAGTTGACTATTTGGCAATGAAATCTGTCGACCTTTTGATTTCTTCCAATATTGTCATCAAAATATTGTTGGGTACTTACGAGTTCGTGGATTTAGATTTTGGATAACAACACTTGATGAAGAATGGAAACACAAATTATGAGAGATATTACTCAGATGTAAGGATCTTAAGTTTTACTAACGTTTATTTTATTTTAAATCTTTACTATCACTTCTTATTTTCTACTTCCGGCCAGAATTATAAGCGTGAAGGTTTTTATGCAAAGTTTGTCTGGCGAACGCCAAGTATTTAAGTGTGGCCTTTTTGCCAAGCAAAAGAGAGGAAGCAGTGAGTTCGAAGCAGGCCGCTTACCTTAGAAGTTACGCAGTTGCTATTTGCCTTCCAGGCCAGAGGTTTTAATCCTCTTGATAAATTAAACGTATTGTAGTGTTCACAGTCCCTGTGCTACATACGCTTCCTGTTATTATAAGGCCAATCTTCCACGTGTATTATTCTAAAGTTAAATTAGAGTTTAGTTTTATTTTTATACTTCTTTACGTTAGACCCCGAGTGGAGGGTCATTGTATTCCGAAGTACGGAAGTCATTGTATATAAAGAAAAATAAAGGGTTTTGTATACCCTTCGTCTGTATCCTGTCTACTTACTACAATTAGTGAACATAGCTTTAGTAAGCTCTCTGTTCCTAGTCAGGTCCTTGTATGTTTCCGAAGAAGGTTAGAAGAAACATTGAACCTGATAGTGGCGCCCAACGAAGAATAACCATGGCCGAGTTTCAAGAAGAACCTGTGCTGCCTGCAGAAACGGCTCAGAATCCAGAAATGCCAGCTGCCGCCCTGGAAGGATTTGGGTACATCGTCCAGACCATGCGCGCTTCGATGAAACCAGAAGCAACATTTAATGGAAACTCACCGGTAACCAGTTTTTTGGAAAAATTGGATGACCACTTCATGCTCTACCCCGTGCACGAGTTTCAAAAAAGTTACCTTAGCTACCAGCGCTTTGAGGGGCCAAGCGCTTAACTGGTTCAAATGTATCGGCAGAAGTCTCTTGGGTCAAGCAGAAGTCCCACCTATACTTACAAAAATTTCAAGACTGCCCTACTAAAAGCCTTCCCTGTTGTAAGGGATCGTGCGAAATTAGAAACGGAACTTTTAGTATATATCAACAAAGAATGGAAAACCTCTCGAGCTTTATTTTAAGAAAAATTCACGTTTTCAAGCTCTTGTATGGAAACCGTCCGGATCCTGAAATAATTCAAGTGATTTTGCCGAGGTTACTACCCCAAGTGCAAGACTTTATTGAATTAAGAAATCCGACTACACTGGAAAAGTTATTTGAGCTAGCAATCCAGTTTGAAAGTAGAAGAACGGCGGACGTCGAAAGAAGACGCCAATATCAACAGCGAAACCAATTTGGTACCCCAAGACTACAGCAAACTCAAGCACATGGCTACGGAGAAAAAGCGAATCAGTGGGCAAGGAAACCCGAGCATTCAAAAAACAGCCGGCGAACGTCGACAGTTCAATAGCACCCAGGAAAAAAGTCTCAGGCCAGTGGGAAAAAGAAGGAAAGCACGGAAAGGAAAAATAATTTAAACTAAAACGGATTTCTGCTGACGAGAGGGTGCGGAAATCCGAAGGCCACGAAAATCCCTCTTCCTACAAGTTAAATACAGTAATGGTGAAAAATTTGACTTCTTCCGAAGATTGAAGTCTTGGTAAATAATATCCCGGCCACCGCACTCCTGGATACCGGCGCGCAGTGTTCCCTGTGTGGCAGAAGTCTTTTTTAGAAAGTATTTTCGCAAATACCGCATATATAATGCGGATAATACGACAGTATTAGCGGCGCAAGGAAAAGAATGTAAGTGCGTAGGTAAAGTACCTTTATATATCCGTATCAAGGACGAACAAGTAAAGGTGATGTTTTTTATAGTAAAGAATTTGCAAGCACATTTAATCCTAGGAATAGACTTTCTTTCAGACGCACAAGCTACACTGGATTTTAATGAAGCGTCCCTTAGGCTGACAATGAAACCAGTGCGTGTAGAAAAAGGTTGAACCGCCAAGGTTAAATATTGACCACCTGCCTAATGACGAGCAAGATAGAATCCGACAAGTGGTAAGTGAATTTGCTTCCTTATTTAGTGATATTCCAGGATTTACTCAGGTTACTAACCATAGTATTGACACCGGAGATGCATTGCCAGTTCGTCAAAAACTAATACCGGTATGATAAGAATAAGGAAAAAAATTATAGAATGGCATATTACCCGATATGCTACGTAAAAAGATCATAACGCCCATCTCAAGTAGTTATGCTAGCCCGGTGGTTTTATGTAAGAAAAATAATGATTATCCTTTGGAGCATCCAAAAAGGTGGAGATTCGCTATTGATTACCGTAAATTAAATTCCATAACGAAATATCCGGTATATCCGTTACCGATCATAGAAGAAATTTTAAGGAACATAAAATCAACCACAATTTATGACGACTTTAGACTTAACGAATGGTTATTTTCAAATAGGGGTCAGGCCTGAGGACGTGCCTAAGACTGCTTTTATAACCAAGTCTGGCACTTATGCATTTTTGCGTATGCCGTTTGCCTTTCAGGGGCCCCAGCAACATTTCAGCGATGCATGGACATTGTGTTAAGACCTGTTCTTGGAAAGTCCACATTTATCTATTTAGACGATATCATATTACTAGTGATAATCTCGACCAACATGTACAGGATTTAAGACAGGTGTTTTCTTTATTAAATGAGGCCGGTCTAAAAGTTAATGTCGAAAAAGTGCAAATTTGCAGCCCCTGAATTAAAATATTTAGGTTACAAAATATCGTCAAAAAGGGATCGAGACAGATGAATCAAAAATAATCGCTGTACAAAAGTATCCGACTCCAA